CGCTATAGAGCACCCCACTACAGGCTAGAGAATAACATTCTGACATCGATACCATCTCCCTAGCTCCTGATCTCAACACGGGGTTCACTATTTTCGCTGCTGGCTACCTGCCGATCCAGGTATATTTGGGGGGATGTTGAATTTTATGTTGAACTGCATGCTCAAGTAGAAGTGTAGTATTATCTAGTTTCTCTGTTGGTGGTGTAATCTCTTTCCCCATCTTCCCTTGGAGTATCTTGTATTGTTGTTAGTGAAACCTCAACCTCTCGAAACTGTCTCGTCACTCACGTCTCTAGCTATGGCTCCTAAGGCTATTGCTTTTCTGACAGACGAGGTCCATGTGGATTGCTTATCTGGGTGGGAGGTAAACGTCTCGTTCGTACAAATATTAAATTACCTGAAAAGAAATTATTTCTACCCCGAGTCTACTATTCGGAAGGATATATTAAATCCCCGGGTCTAGTATACGAGCGAGTAGACTTGTAGGGTATGGTGATTTAAATGTCAAGATTCGCAACTGGCTTTAGCAGCTTTAGAGATAAGAGATTCCGCACCTCCATTGCACAAGTGTATGGGTCGTGACACGTTTCCAAATGCACGCGAGTAGTTGTCAAAAGAACTAACTTCACTGGTGCACGTTAAGTGGAGCAGTGTGCGATCGACAAGAACGTATCCTTTCATATTAATGCTGTACATTCACTTTCACAACACAAGGCGACGGATTTTACATCTTGTCAAGGCCATCAGCACGAGACTTGAAGCCGATCTGGCCCCACCAGAGGCAAGCGAAGAGACCGAAGTGCCACAAGATCATCCACAACCTGAAATTGGCAACAACCGACAAATTAATCGCCGCAAAATATATAGATAAAAGACGAGGGGGAGTCAAAGATACGATGCGCTTACCAAATGGGGGAGTCAATGCTGGGGCCAGTGGGCCAGTGAGCCAGCTCGGGGCCAATGCTCTCAAAGAAGAGGCCGGTGAGGGACTTGCCGTTGATGGCGGGGATGCTAGAAGGCGCGAGCCACCCGACGAAGCCGAAGCCGATCACTGACAGGTCGGTGCGGAGCCAGTCACGCACGAAGCTGTCACAAGCAGGAAGGCACGAAGAGCAATTTGAATGTCAAGAATGATGGGAGGTGGAACATTGTTAGGAATCAAACAGCCGTTGCGGACCGATTCACATACCAGGTGACGCGAGCCTCGGCGCGAGGAGCCTGCACCACGGCGCGCTGCCCAACAAATGCTGCAACATGAGCGAACCGTCAGTAATGCTCCAGGTTCGCAATCAAGGAACATTTTGCAACTAATCGTAAAAACCTACCTGACTTGAGCTGGACGCGGGCGGTCTTGCGGGCAGCGAGGGAGGAGCCCGCGAGGCCAGCGGCGGGGGCAGCAAGGGAGCAAGCAGCAACGCAAGCCATGGTGACTGGTTGTGAGGGAGCAAAGTTTCAGTGCGGTGGCTCCAGTGCTAAACTCGAGTGGAGCATCTAAGCTAGTCTTTGTTGGTTGCAAGCCCTGAGTGCCTTGGAACAGCTTGAGTGGGAGCCTTGCCACGTGGAGGCGTGAATCGCAATGGATCGAAATTTGCTCATTCTATTGGCTTGTGACGTGGGTTTAGGATAAGGGCGATACCAAGCGAAGTCGTCAACTTCACTCAGGTAACAAATTTGTCAGTAGTGGCGGCACCAACCAGGGGAAAAATAGCTTCTGATTACACTTACCACTATACTTCTGCAATCCTAGAGGACTGAAAAAAACATATTTCTGTGCAATCAGATATACTTTCAGTATTGGAAACAAACGTGTTGAACCGAATACAACCACGATATGAAGTATCAATATAGAAATATTACGGAATGGCGTTGGTGGTGTATGCACTTTCCCCCCGAAATTTCATGAAACTTGTAGGAATTGAAGGGTGATTTTCCTGAAGAACATTTAGCATATTAGGTAATTTCCTGACAAATCTTACTATCTGCAGACTACACTTCTAGCGCTTTATCATTATCGACGAATCAAGATCCTGACGTGGCCCCTGGGCATGACACGCACATCTTATGTCAACACTGTCCACCATGTCCGCTGGCGTGGCGAGTCGGCCATTGCTGCAGTTCACCACTCATGTGGTCCCCATCCCGACTTTGCCGCCCCTTGCGTAGCGATTTGCGCCGCGGGCACGTAACACAGTATTCACGATCATCTCTTAGAGGCTGCGCATACATCAAATCCTCGCACGAACTGCCCCGCCACATCGCCTAAATGGCCCTCACCGGCCTTGCCGCTGCCGCTCGGGTCCTTCGTCGGAGCTCTTGGAGTCGCCATGCGCGTGCACGCTTTGCGCTTCCCCCGGGAGTAGTCCTCCCGAGCAGCAAGGGGCCTCTCACCGCCACTCGTTGCGAGGGTGCCGAGAGTTGCGCTCAGACCGACGGATCCGTCGCATCCCCTTTGCTTCTCCGCGCGCTCCATTCGCTGGTTGAGTCTACTCAGCCCTCCGCCCCTCATCCCTCCGGCTCCGCCCCTCATGTCTCGCGTTCCTTCTCACCTGTCGTGCCGTCGCAGCTCGCCGCGGGGCTGTGCACGAGCGCTGCCAGCAGCGTTCCCCTGCCCGTGCAGCACGGTGCGTCCACGATGCGCGCCGCCGTGATGCGCGAGGTGGGCGCGCCGCTGCGCGTGGAGCTGCTGCGCATCCCGCGCCCCCAGGCGGGCGAGGTGCTCATCAAGACGCGCGGTGAGCCCTTTCGCACTGTGCCACACGCTGAATGTGGGGGGAGGGGTTGAAAAGTGGGTGGAGGCGAGATGACATGGTCGTGTTCGAGCTTCGGCCGCCCATTGCGCATTCCCCATTCACTGCCTCTTTCCCAACCCACTCTCTCACATTCTGCCCCCTCTTGCATCTCGCTTTCCCCCACCTGGTCGCCCTAGCGTGCGGAGTGTGCCACACGGACCTGCATGTGATGCGCGGCCACGTGGCGTTCCCCGCGCCATGCGTGCTGGGCCACGAGGTCAGCGGGGAGGTCGTGGACCACGGCGCCGGCACCGACGCCGCCACCATCGCCAGGTGCGCCTCAACGCATGGCATGGCCTGGGAGGGTGCGAGGAGGGCGCAGCACAGTGAGCAAGCACGTCTGTTGACTGTGCTCGCCGCGCCACGTGAGGTTGCCTCACTCGCCTTCTGTCATTGTACCCAGAGCGAGTACCACTGCTATCCCACGGTGATGCCTGCTGCAATCGCCCTCCATGTGCCGCTTACCATGCTCCCTCCTCTCATTCCTGCCCCACGCCACACATCTATGCCCCTTGCTCCCTGCTCCCTGCCCCCCCTTAACAACGTGCTGACCATGACCACGTGCATCACGGGGGGAGCAGGCTGCCAGTGGGATCACGAGTGGTGGTGGCGTTCATCATGCCGTGCGGCTCCTGCTTCTTCTGCACTCATGTCAGTCACTCGCCCTCGTCAGGACACGCCACATCATTCCTGCTGCATGCATACACCCCACATATGCCACACTCCACACTGTCTTCTTTCCACGCCTCTCATCCCGAGGGCACATGGCAGGGGCAGGAGGACATATGCTCCACATTCTTTGCATTCAACCGCCTGCACGGCACGCTCTATGACGGCCACACTCGCCTCTTCTCCGCTCACCCCCCTGGTGAGCGCCTGCCTGCCTGCCATGGCTGCTCCACCTGCACCACGTTGTGAGGCAAGGCTGAAGCCGGCCATGCTCATGGGCGTGCAGCATTGCGCTCACAGCAACGCACCCATGTGCGCTCCTTGTCACCCCTCACACATGCTGCAATACACCTGCTCACACCCAACCCCGCCCACCCAACCCCCCTCCCTCCTCCTCCCCGCAACCCCTCTTACCCCCGTCGCACCCCCCCTTCCCCCCTTTCCCCAGCGTCCCCCCTGGCGATGTACAGCATGGGCGGGCTGGCGGACTACTGTGTGGTGCCCGCCACTGCCGTGGCGCCGCTGCCCCCCGCGCTGCCGCTGCCCGAGGCGGCCGTCATGGGCTGTGCGCTCTTCACCGCCTTCGGAGCGCTGCGCCACGCAGGGGACATGCGCGCGGGCGAGACCGTGGCGGTGGTGGGGGCGGGCGGCGTGGGCGGCAGCTGTGTGCAGGTGGCGCGCGCCATGGGGGCGGCGAGCATCATAGCAGTGGACGTGGGGGAGGACAAGCTGCAGCGCTGCCGTGCTCTGGGCGCCACCCACACCGTCAACGCTGCCAAAGAGGACGTGGTGGAGGCCATCAGGGTCAGTGCACCTTGCTGGGGCCGCAACGGTGGGGTGGGTGGGGGTCTGTGGTAGGGCGAGTGTGATCCCCCTCAGCCCCTGTGGTTCACTCACTTGTGGTCGCCTTGCCCCATGTGTGCCCCATGTGTGCCCCATGTGTGCCCCATGTGTGCGCCCCATGTGTGCGCCCCATGTGTGTGCCCCATGTGTGTGCCCCATGTGTGTGCCCCATGTGTGTGCCCCATGTGTGTCTCATGTCCGCCCCATCTCCCCACCTTCCCCCACAGGCCATAACGGGCGGCAGGGGGGTGGACGTGGCGGTGGAGGCGTTGGGGCGGGCGGAGACGTTTGGGCAGACGGTGCATGCAGTGAGGGATGGGGGCAGGGCGGTCATGGTGGGCATTGCTGCTGCCGGCACCACCGCTGCCGTTGACATCACCCGACTCGTGCGCCGCAATGTCTGTCCTCCACCCTGCACATGCTCCTCCCACGCATGGCTTTCAGTCCCATGCATAGCTTTCAGTCCTACGCATAGCTTTCAGTCCTACGCATAGCTTTCAGTCCCACGCATGGCTTTCAGTCCCACGCATGGCTTTCAGTCCCACGCATGGCTTTCAGTCCCACGCATGGCTTTCAGTCCCACGCATGGCTTTCAGTCCCACGCATGGCTTTCAGTCCCACACATGCTTCTCTGCTGCTGCACCTCCGTTTCACTCAGATTCCTGCCTGGGGCCTTCCCACCCGCATGCTTCCCTTCACCCCCCTTTCCTTTTCCCTCAGATCAAGATCATAGGGTCGTACGGGGCCAAGGCGCGGTCGGATCTGCCAGTGGTGGTGGCGTTGGCAGCAGCGGGGAGGGTGGACGTGGTGTCCAGTGTCACAGAGCGCTACAGCCTTGAGGATGCAGACATTGCCTACTGCAAGCTGGAAAAAGGCAACGTGCTGGGTCGCGCTATTGTAGACATGTCCCTCTGATGCATTGCTCTCAGCATGCAGCCTAATCGGAACGTGTCCAGAGTTGCTTCCGGTTGACGTGTAGGTTTCTGCTCGGCTCACAAGTGCTACATGTTCGAAGTGATAAAGAGATCAGAATTCTAAGAGAAAGTCATTTGCCTTGGAAAATACATGCCTTTGCACTCTTCAGTAAAAAACATCACAAACTGGAAAACTGAGTTGATATGCTGCTGCAGAAACGATGGGAGGCAACTGGCCTTCTTTACATCTGTACGGGGCATGCAGCATGCTCGCACAGCGCCAGCACCACGTGCCCTTTGGGCTGTGGCGCCTGTGGCACTTCGCCCTCCACCACCTCACAGCACTCATCAACATTATATGCACAACCACACAAAACACTGACCATCCAGACACATGAGCACATGCACCCTGCACTGCTGCCTTGCAGCCTCCACCCAGCACGAGTGACACGCAGCGTCCAGCACCCCCCCTTCGCCCTGGGCTCATGACTCGTCCCAGTGCTCTTCTCTCTTCCCTGCCTCGCACCCAGAGGGCGCTGCAGGGCGTCAGAGCATCCCGGGCTCCACACGGGCCACAGGGGTCCTAAGGTAAGGGTGAACACGCGCATCCAGACACTGCTGCTGCTGCTGCCGCTGCTACTGCTGCAGTGTGTCCATGTGTCGGGGTTGGTACCTGCAGGGAGGCTCGTGGGAGCCCCTGCACATGTGCTTCACAGGGAGTGCGGCGTGGCGCCCGCCGACCTGCTGCCATACAGCCCGCGCGCGCCAAAGCCAGCGGAGAGGCGCGGGCTGGTGCTGCTGCTGCTGCGCGCCCAGCTGGGCAGCTGCCACCCCACGTGCAGGCGCTTCAGCGTGTACTCGTCGTCGGGGCAGTGCGGGCGCGACACGCGGATGGACTTGAGCGCGGGGCGGCAGCAGCGCGTGAGGCGCACGATGTCGTCGCGCATCAGCTGCTTGCACCCCGTCGCGCTCACCTCCTTCACCGCGCGCGCCTCCGCCAGCGCCGCTGCGAGCCCCCCGGCGGACAGCTTGAGGCAGGCGGGCAGGGAGAGCGAGGCGAGCGCGGGGCACGCGTGGACCAGCGCGAGAAGCCCCTCGTCGCTCACGCCGCACGACGGCAGCGCGACGGTCTCCAGCGCCGCGCAGGTGACGCCGTCGAACGCGGTGGCCTTGACGTCCGCGCACGCCTTCACGGAGAGCGCGCGCAGCCGCGCACACCCCGCCAGCAGCCGCTGGATGCCCTCGTCGCTGACGTGGCAGTTGCTGAGGTGTACCTCAGTGAGAGCGGGGCAGTTGGCGGCCACCGAGTGCAGCACGGCGTCCGTCACGAGCTCGCCGTTGAGCCGCAGCAGCGCCAGGTGCGGCAGCCCGCCTCTGAACGTGTGCACGCCCGCCGCGCCGACCGCCGTGCCCGTGAGCACCAGCTCGCGCAGCTTCTTGCAGCCCGCGATGACAGGCGCGAGCCCCTCGTCGGCGACGGCGTCGCACGCGTGCATGTCCAGCACCTCCAGCGACGGGCACCCGCGCGCCAGCCCCGACACGGCGCCGCTGTCCACCTGGCGGCTGCCGCGCAAGCTCAGCACGCGCAGCTTGCGGCACCCCGCGGCGAGCGACGAGAAGGCCTCGCGCGAGAGCTGGTGCGTCTCCCCCGCGCCGTAGTCGAGGTACAGCTCCTCCAGCCGGCGACTGTGACGGCCCAGCGCCGCCAGGCCGTCATCGCTGACGTCCACGACGCCCAGATGCAGCAGGCGCAGCTGAGGACACCCCGCCGCCACCTGCGCGACGCCGGCGCCCGTGACGCGCTTGCAGTGCTTCACGTCGAGGTGCTCCAGCGCCTGCAGCCCCGCGCCGACGGCGGCGAGCGCGGCGTCCGTGATGTCCGTGAAGGAGAGGTCCAGCTCCTCCAGGCGCCGGCAGCTCTGCGCAATGTGCGCCACCACGGCGTCCGTGAGATGCGGAACCGAGCGGAGGCGCAGCTTGAGTAGGCGAGGCAGATGCGAGCCCAGCGCCATGAGCGAGTGGTCGGGGCCCTTGAAGGCAGGCAGGGAGAGAATGGAGAGGTTCGGACAGCCGCGAGCGAGAGCGACGAGTCCCGCACCATCAGCGGCCTTGCAGGTCTCGGGTACGTGCAGCTCGAGCAGACGCGGACACAGGAGGCCGATGCTGGCCAGGGAGTCCTCGGAGCAGTCGAAGAGGAAATTCAGGTTCAGCACCGCGAGCGACGGGAACCTGGCCAGGAGCTTCGGGAGCTTGGATGCCTGCAGAATTCAAAATGGCAACGGGAGTCAGCGTATGGTCGCGTGCCTAGCGGGAGGAGAGGCGACGACAATGCGGGAGGCAAGAATTACCTTAAGGCCACTCAAAGAGAGGGTCGAGCAAGCCTGGCCGGAGGATGCCAGCCATTGCTGGCTAACGAGCGACGCTGCTCTCAAATGTGCTCTCCTTCCCGTATCCTGCTTCTCCAAATTCTGTAACGCGTAAACAGGAATGAAGTTAGAAGGCTGGATTAAAAAACGACGGCAATTGATATAACTACCTAGAACGAAATGCATACCTTCAAAATTTCGACGAGAAGCTCGCCAGGCAAGTCGTCAAGGCGACATGAACTGCAAGGAGGGGACGCCACTGATGGCGAGGAAAAGTCGTCGACCTCAAAAATCATGGCGAATAGCAGGAGAAGAAAAACTGGTGGAACGAAGCGTCGACCAGGTCACTAGAATTTACAGGAAAAAATGGGCCAATCCGTAAATCCTTCACACACTCATCTTGTCAGGCTGGTTTCAGGAGTCAAATTACACCCTGTTTCTCGCTATTGTGTATGCCGGTATACTGAACCCTGTGGCTCAACGCGCCAAATTACGCGATATAGTAAACTTTTGCACCAGTTCGGTTTGACGAGGTCAGCTACCTTTGAAGACGGTCGATTAATTTTTTAATATGGCTCGGTAGGGTACCCAGGTCAACGAAATTTCGGATCACCCGCCTCCTAGAGACGGATATTGTAAACTTTTCAAATACGTCCAAGGAATAGTTCCACTGTTCAGTGTGTTTCCGCAGTTCAGTGTAGCGAGAAACCGGGTGTAGCAGAAAGTAATCTCAGGGAACGTGGGAGGCAAAATGTGCGAATGTGTAAGCCGAGAGGGCGAGCGACCAATCACGCGTGGAGGGGAGCGACGAATGCTGCAGCTGCCCTCCGCTGCGCTGGCCCGCGAGGCAGGGGGGGACGAACAGCACAACACAGCTCCCCCAGTGGTTTGGGGGGACGACAGGTTTGGTGCCGGTTCGGGCAAAGCAAGGAAGGCAGCCAGGCAAAATCCAACGATCACGTGCAACGAGCTGCTTCTTATGGAAGAATTCCAACTCACGTGGTAACGTCCCCGCTGGTTGGATGAAATATCAGCATTCTCCCGAACCTTCTTGCCACGAAGGCAGTTGAGTCCAGATTCGGCCCCTTCTCTTCGCGGGCAGACAGTAAGGAACGAAAATAAACAGCTGCCTTATCCCGTTTCCAAGTGCGATGGGCAATCCAGCCTGGCTGATGTTACTGACATGTCATGAAGTGCCTTGTCTCGTGTCATCCTAATGTGTTGCTAGTTTTCGATTGGCTGAAATACGTGACACTTTTTCTAGAGCTCGCAGATTGAGGACGCATCACCAGAAAGTACTACCCGATGTGATTCATGAACTAACATTCCCCTGACCGTGCCAATCTCAACAGACTATACTCAAAGTCTGTGGTTGCCTAGGTGTGATACACCTGCTTGTGTCTAAGCCAGCTACAGTGCCCGTCTCATACCTGTAACGCATCTGCGTGTACGAATGTTTACAGTGCATCCACATCCCTTACCAGTATGTGTCATGACCGACAATGATCTAGTTATCAGCAGTTCTTACTCGTGCGCATCGTGCTGAGGAGCTTTCGCAGTGGCGATGCTCCGATCAGCGGTCATTACGCGCTCCCAGGAGATCAAGCGAGCTTTCGGGCGCCATTTTGCGTCCTCCGCGGCAGCAGCTGCTGAAAGCGCGGGGAAGAGCAAGGTGAAAGCGAAGTCGACGGGAGGAAGCAGCGGCGGGAAGAAGAAAGCTTTGGAAGATCAAGGGAAGGCGGCCTCCATTGTGGAGGCGGCGCTTCGTCATGCTCGAGTAGAGCTGGTAAGATCTGTAGTGACGTCATCACCGTGCCGGTGTATGAAATGGGCGAGGGAACCATGAACGTGGCCTTTATTGCTCGTTGAAGCGTTTTTGTCCTTCGAGTACTCGACGAATCCCTCGTCCGATGCTTGAAGGTATAGTTTGTCCCGTGTATGTTGCTGTAACCGCTGCTTCACGGGCTTGAGCGATTCAATCATGTAGCAGTCCACCCCCACTACTCCTGACCCCCAATGAACTCATGCTGTCTGCCGTTTCACCCACTTAGGCCCCTCCCCCACTTCTCTTGCCCTCCACATACCGCTTTTTCCGCAACGCCCTACCCCTTTCTTTGCCACCCAGCCAAATGTGGATGAGGCTACTCAGGAGGAGGAGAGGCGGATGGCGAAGGAGTACTCGAGGTTGATGATGCAGAAGCACCACCAGCAGAGAGGGGCGGAGTCTGCCAGGCTCAAGCTCAAGCTGGCAGCCATCCAAGCCCTACCTGCTGGCAAGCTTAGGGATTCCGCCGTGCTCCCAGATTTCACTCCCTTCCCGTCCAATCGGATTGCACCATCTCTCACGCCTCCAATTAAGGAGCTGCAAGAAGAAAGAGCAAGGACTAGCGACCAACAGGTAGTAAGAAAAATCCGGTAGTACATGTTTGCTCCTATCCCAAAAGCCCGTGCCGACTGGTGTCACTAGGGTTCTGGGTACAGCTTGGGCAATTGAAACATGGTTTTAAAAAAGTGCATAGTATACTTACGTTAGTGAACTCCTCACCTCACCGCCAAGTGATAGCGTTGCATGTGCATGTAAGTGTCAAATTATATGTTTACTGCTATCTAGGTTGTAGTGGGTTTAGCCTTAGGGGGTACAGTAAGTTGCTCTACACTTCATTGTATCCCCCTTCTTGCCCAAATCCATCTCATTCCTTCCTACCTATCTCAACATGGTATTAAGAGCCATTACATTAGGTCCTTATGACCAGATTTTTAAAAGGGCCCACCGTTAAGTCTTCGATTTCCTGCCCGAATCGCGCCCCTAGTCGCGTCACTTTTTTATCCTGCTTGAATCGCGACCTTAGGCACGTCGATTTTCTGCCCGAATCGCGCCCCTAGGCACGTCGGTTTTCCTGCCCAAATCGCGCCCCTAGAAGCGACGGTTTTCCTGCCCGAATCGCGACCTTAGGCACGACGAATTTCTGCCCGAATCGTGTCCGTAGGCGCGTCGATTTTCCTGCCCTTCCAGCGCGCGCCTGCCCTGCAAACGCTACCCACGCGCTGCCCTACCCCGTCCGCGCGCGGCTGTCCTCCTGCCCTGCCCTACGCGCTGTCCTGCGCCACCCGCGAGCGCCTGCCCTGCGCTCTGCCAGCGACCCGCACCCGCGCTAGTCCTGCCCTGCCCTACGTGCTGCCCTGCGCCGCCCGCGAGCGCCTGCCCTGCGCCCTGCCAGCGACCCGCACTAGCGCTAGCCCACCCCTACCCAGCATCCCGCGCGCTGCGCTGCCCTGCAGCACGCGCGACGCCCTGCCCTGCAGCGCGCGCGCTGCCCTGCCCGTGCACCTGCTGCCAGCGCCCTGCCAGCTGCTGTGCCCGCGCGCTGCTTGCACAGCCAGTGCGCTGCCCGCACACTGTCTGCGCCGCCTGCGCGCACCTTGCCTGCGCTGCAGCTGCTGCTAAGCTACTGCTGCCGCTTGCCTCGAGCGTGCCCTGCCCTGCCGTGGGCTGCTGCTCTGCTGCTGCTGCCTGCGCTGCTGCTACTGCTGCGCTGCTGCTACTGCTGCTACTGCTGCACTGCTGCTACTGCTGCGCTGCTGCTACTGCTCAGCTGCTGCTGCTGCTAGGCTGCTGCTGCCGCCTGAGCTGCTGCTGCCGCCTGCGCTGCTGCTGCCGCCTGAGCTGCTGCTGCCGCCTGCGCTGCTGCTGCCACCTGTGCTGGTGCTGCTGCTGCCACCTGTGCTGGTGCTGCTGCTAAGCTGCTGCTCCCGTCTGCGCTGCTGCTGCTGCTGCTGCTAGGCTGCTGCTGCCGTCTGAGCTGCTGCTGCCGCCTGCACTGCTGCTGCCACCTGTGCTGCTACTGCTGCGCTGCTGCTGCTGCTGCTGCGCTGCTGCTGTTGCTAGGCTGCTGCTGCCGCCTGAGCTGCTGCTGCTGCCACCTGTGCTGCTGCTGCTGCGCTGGTGCTGCTACTAAGCTGCTGCTCCTGCCTGCGCTGCTGCTGCTGCTGCTAGGCTGCTGCTTCCATCTGAGCTGCTGCTGCCACCTGCGCTGATGCTGCCACCTGTGCTGCCACCTGTGCTGCCGCTGCTGCCGTAACTGCCGCTCCTGCTGCTTGCTGTTGTTACTGCTGCTATGGCGACTCCCACTGTTCTAGCCTTTGATGCAGTGGGGCACCCTCTAGGGTTCGACTCCTGGCTAGAGGGGCTGCACCTGTACTTCCGTAGTGTCACTCGCGACGACGTCTCACTGTTCGAGCACACGTCGGCGTCTCTTCAGGCCCCCAAGGCTCCTGCTGAGCCTGCTGCTAACGCTGGGGAGGAGGTGCGGACGCAGTTCCGCGCAGCTCACATTGCCTACAAGCGGTGGATGGCGCGAGACGCCGCCGCCACACTTGCAGTCCGCCTTCACCTCTCGTTCGACCAGAGAGCCAAGTTTCGCCAGGTGTCGTCGGCCCATGCTATGTATTCCGCTGAGGTTAGGCGCTACTCCCCCCCCCCCCCCCCCCTCCTGCAATCCTAGGCTGTCTTGCGCTGCCTCTTACCTTCCCTGCGCTGTCAGACCTCATCACTGTAGCTAACGAGGGTGGTCGTAGTGGAGCTGGCGGGAGTGGCGGGGGCGGGCACCAGGAGTTAGAGCCTTCGTGTGTCGCTGCTTGTGCACCTACTAGCACAGACTATGCGCACCCCTCCACTGTTCTCTCGTGTCTCATAGTCTCGTCTGCCTCCTCTGGCTCGACCGAGGGGGGTGACCCTACTGCTGCCGACACAGCGACCTCTCGCCGCTCGCCGCGCTTGGAGACACCTCCGCGTTTTCCGCCTCGGACGTCTTCGCCTCCTCTGCAGTCTGTCCTTGCGGACTTCGGGGGCCCAGGTGTTGTTGGGGGTGGTGACGCTGGGGGTGCTGGTTCTCGGGGTGCTGCCTCTGGGGGTGCTAGGAGTCCTCTTGTTGGTGGAGTTGGAGGTACTGGCGCTGGAGGTGCTAGCGCTGGAGGTGCTGGGTCTGGGGGTGCGTTGCAGACGCTGCCACGGCGGCCTATCTTCTTGGAGCAGCCGTTGTCGTCGCTACCTGAGCCAACGCCCACTCATACTACTCCTCCTCTGTTGTTTCCGCCGCCTGACTCCCCACTGCCTGCTCCTGCTCGATACGTCCCGTTGTCCGTCTCCCTGACTGGGCGTCGGGAGCCTGTGTCTTGTGCCGCCTTCCTTGCTCCCTCTCGTGTTACTCGGGAGCCTGTTGTCCTGCCGTTACCTCCCTCGTCTTCTCTTCCTGCTGTTCCTGACCCTGTGTCTGACCTTGCTCGTGCTGCTCGCCCGACTATCCCTCGTTGTCTAGCCGCGCTTGTGACTGCACCAGCTTCTTCGCCTGCTGCTGCTTGTGTCTTAGTAGCTGAGCTCGCAGGCTTTGCCGCTACTTGCTGCCGTGCCTACCTTGTTGGTCTCGTTTCTGCCTCTTCGTGTCCTCCGTCCGTCGGGGGTGAGCTTGCCCTTGGCTGTGACGTCCTTGAGGATAGGCAGTTCGAGCTGGAGTACCTGCCGTACCCTCTCAGCATCCGGACTCGCTACATTGCGCCCGGGAGACACCACCCTGCGCATTGGCGGACTGCTAGGAGGGTGCTGCGCTACCTGGTCAGACTAGTGAGCAGAACGTAGCACTTTGCACTTCGTTCCTTTGCCGTGCGAGTGTTGCAGCAGCATTCCCAGCTTCGCCTTTGTTCGTGGCCACACGGGCCAACACTGCTTGTCTCTTGATCTTGTCTTGTACTTTGATATATAAACCTGCATGTTTCTGGTTGCTAGGTTGTAATCATTGTACTGCTTTCTTTATTATAAAACTGCATGTGAACTGGCCTTGTGGCTACTTGCTAGTGCTCAGAGTGCGTGGTGATCTTGAGATCCACCATGAGCTTGCTTTGCTTTGTTTCTTCTCTTGACTGGTCTTGTGATCGCTTGCTGTATTTGCTATTCCCCACTTCGCCTATGGGGGTGTGTCAAATTATATGTTTACTGCTATCTATGATGTAGTGGGTTTAGCCTTAGGGGGTACAGTAAGTTGCTCGACACTTCATTGTGTTAGAATCGTAGGCAAAAAAAGTGGTTTCGACTATCGAGAGGGTTGGTACAAAGTGGAAACCCAAGGGGTTGTACCCCACAGTAAGTACCCCACTAAGCCTACCCAAACTATAACATATATATACATATGTTTGACACACCACCATAGGCAAAGTGGGGGAGAACAGAGGGTCACAATACCGGTCAGGAAGTGCAAAGCAAGCTCAGGGTGGATCACAACGTCACCACGCAGTCTGAGCACAAGCAAGAAGGCCACAAGGCCACTTCACATGCAGAAATATATATGTAACAACAACAGTACAGTGATATCTACCTACAAGAACAAGCATGCAGGAATACATATAAATCATGGTACAAACAAAGCCTACAGCAAGTGAGGAAGAGTGGGCACAAGGCCTAACAAAGTGCAGAAACGCCGATGATCACCAGGCGGAAGTGCCTTGGTGAATATATCAGCAGTGTTGGCCCGAGTGGCCACGTAGGTAAGACGAAGTTGGCCACGCTGCTGCAGCTCTCGAGCAAGAAAGTAACGAAGAGCGATGTGCTTTGTTCTGTGCTCCACTCTGTGCTCCTGACACAAGGCAATGGCGGCCTTGTTGTCGACGTACAGAACTGGAGGAGAACGAGGCCGCTCTCCCAAGTCGTTCAGCAGGTAGGTGAGCCAGCGCAGCTCCTGTGCAGCCATGGCTGTGGCGTAGATCTCTGCCTCACAGCTGGAGCCGAGAACTGAAGACGAACGTGTAGAACGCCAGGAAACTGAACCAGAACCAAGGCTGAAGGTGTAACCCTGTGACGACCGCTGCGTAGCCTGGTCGTCAACCCAAGAGGCGTCCGAGTGACCTGTGAGGACAACGTCACCCCGTCCTCCAAGCACGAGCCCCATGCCCGATGTACTGCACAAGTAGCGTAGTACCCTCTTGGCAGCATCCATGTGCACCTTTCGGTGCCGACCAGGAGCCACGTAGCGAGCCAGAAGGCCAAGAGGGTACGCAAGGTCAGGACGAGTGCAAGTCATCAGGTACATGAGGCAGCCCACTAACTCTGAGTAAGGACCACTCGGCTCTACGGACTCGTCCGAAGGTGGAGCTGAGAGCGAGTGACCTGTAGCCAGAGGAGTAGCCTGTGCTGAGGACCAGGTGAAACCGAAGCGCTGAAGGACCTGCTGCACCATGTGTGACTGAGTCAGTGTGATGGTGCGGCGTGCTCTGTCCCGGGTGATCTGCAAGCCAAGGTAGCTGCGCAGTTCACCCAGGTCTGTGCACGTGTGTCTCTTCTGCAGCTCCGACTTCACCAAGGTGAGAGCCTCAGTGTCAGCAGTGGCAAAGACTAAGTCGTCAACGTACACGAGAACGTAGAACGGCGGCAGC